TGAAAAAATAGCTTTTTCATATGTTTTACTAATTGATCGGCAAAAATTACGTAGACTTTTGTCCAGTGAGTGTATGTTACCATAGGCAAATGTTTTTTCCATAAAATCAATATTGTCTATTTATATTACAGCAAGGCTCCAGATATTTTAATTCTGCTTTCCAGTTAAATACAAGTGGGAACCCATCCTGATATTCATCAAGGGATGTTGGTATTTCTCACTTATTTTTATTTTGTCAATCCATGCTCATAATTGTAATGTTGATGATCATGTACAGGTGAAACCTGTTTAAACCAGCAGAGCTGGTTTGCTGTGTATTGAAAAATCTTCCTAAAACCCCTTGTTGGAGGCTCTCCATTCGTTTTGACTCTATATCATGCAATAGTTGATGCAGTCTACATATTAATATGCTGTTCCTTTCCCACAGGAAAATTGTCAGGCTGTTGTTTGAGAAATTCAATTGCTGATTTAAATATTGTCAGCAGTTTCATATGATGTTTCAATGACCTCTATCATCTTCATTTTGACTGTTTACATATATTACTATTACTATCACACCATCCCTAACTTTAACTGGAATATTTGAACCCCAGGAGTCTAGTTTTTCAAATGCCTGCTGAACAAAGATAGTCTTGCCCTTTCCAGCAGTTCCTACAGCTCCTACATATACAGCAATAGTAATAGTAATAGGAACACACATGTGCTTCCTTGGCTCCCAGAAATATTCAGGGTTTTTGATAATAGCATACAATTCTATCGACATTACAAGCAACTCGTTTTTTTTATTTTGATATTTGCTTTATCAATCTCATAAGTCACTATCCTCATCGTCGACTGCTGAAAGCGAGATCTCACATGAAGGTCATTTTGTAAAAGACTTTAACACTCCAAGTGTTATATTTACTTGATGCTCTCCATCAACTGTTTGACCGCTTTGCAAATTTCAGATGGGCTGAGATGTCTGGAGTGTTAGAAAGGATATCACCATTCTCCAATTGAGGAAGTGAATCACGAGGTGGCCTAAGTCTAACACCCCCAGCATGTGGCTGAAGGAGCAACAAAGTTCTTCAAGATTTTAAGTCGGGTATGGTGACAGCATGCAACAACAGCATTCTCTCTCGCTGCTCTATTAAAACCGTATGCCTATTCTACCCTATACACACTATTCTATGCCCCCAACGCTCGAGTCACAAGGCTGCGTGCTAATCTTCCTGTCGCTCCCGCGTGTCTCTCTCTCCTCGGTATTTTTCCGCTACACCATCCCTCAGTTCGGTCAAACTCGCTTTGCATGTAAGGGCATCCATTTTTGACGAAGTGAGGTTTGTAGCGCGTGATGTGATCTAATATGTAATATACTAACGCTGATCGATCAGTGGCAACTATTTTCTCCTGTATGCAAGAATGTGACCAATGATAATAAATGCGCAAAACCAGATACTGACTCATACAGCATGTCACGCCATATATTAATTATAAAAATTTTCCCAAGATTAAGCAAATTGTGCTGTAAAATAATATATAATTTAATTAATCCTTTCCCATACCCATGTTTAAGTTTCATTAATAAAAGTCCTAATATTTTACATATGAATAAACGGCTTATGTTACATATAAAACGACAAACACTTCACGTAATCACAACGCTATTTTATCAATTTTGTTCATCAACAATCGCGTTTTAACCCGCTCCCGCAAGATACCACCATGACAATAAATTAATTCAAACCCTCAAGGTTCGTCATAAATAATTCATGAGCCAGAAAAACATCAGTGTCTCAAAATGCTCAGCCACATTCGCATGTCGTAGTCCGTGCCGCTCATTGGGGTACGGTTGAAGTACGTGAGGCTTGTTGTATTTGACAAGTGCTGCGACCAATCGTTCTGAATGTTCAAAATGCACGTTTTCATCTATCTGGCCATGGGCAATAAGCAATCGATTCTCACTGGCAGTAGCAAATAAAGTAATTTAAGTCTTCTCTTGTTCCGTCAATCGCTAATTCACTTCCAATTAGGACAATACTCTGCTTGATTTCCCATCTAACTTACCTGTCGGGAAAGTTATCAGCCCAATACAACACACTTCCTCTTCGATATCCTTCAACGTTGTCACTTGGCAATCCCATATATCTCTCAGTATAAGCAGTATCGTACAACTCCCACTGTGACACTGGCGCTCCCGCGATAGCTAATTTAAAAACATCGGGATGCTGTGCGAGAGCCATCAGACTCAAATATCCTCCATAACTCCATCCCGTTATAGCCACTCGCGTCAAATCAACTCCCATCTTACGAGAAGAGAGATATCGTAATCCAGCAATCTGATCTTCCAGTTCCACTGTACCCATGCGGTTCCTGAGATGAGCTTCAAATGCGATGCCACGGTCGGATGATCCACGCCCATCGATTAAAACCACGCAGAACCCAAGTTTACTCGCAAGGAACAGACGGAGAAAACGTGGATACTTGTAGTCGTTTGTCACCATCTTGAAAGTATGGATGAGAGAATTTTTTTTCGATTAAATAAACGACGTCAGACGTTTTGAATGCGAATTCAGTATTTATGTTGGCGACAGCCGTATGCATTTCACATCTTACCTGTGATTTTGGCCCGCCGTAAATGTTTAGCAAAGTAGGATATATCTTCCCGGGCACATAATTTTCAGGTCGATATAAACAACCATGTATGGTAACACCGTCACTATTTACAAATTCAAAAAACTCTCCCGCTGGCACCTTTTTCTCTTCCTCCCTTCCGTCATCCTTCTCATCGTCTTCTGCAAGTCCGTATCCAATGCTGACTCCGACTCGTTCACTAACGTTTGGAAATATATTTCCTTTTCGCCATTCCAAATATCTCACCATGCACCTCGGCTTTTCCTCTGTACTCGAGAACCAATCTAAAAATTTCTCACACTTTTCATCCATGATAACAACATGACTATAACCCAATTCCGTTAGACGTACTACAGCTGTCGGATTCGCTGACGGTGAGAAACTGGCAACGTACAAGTGCGTTTCAAGAAATGTGTCCTTCTTGGCAGTAAAGTAGACTAGCTCGCGTACAGGATCCACAAATATTGGACGATCGACCACCGGCCAGTCACCTGAAGTTATCTGGCGTAGATTGTATGATGATGACGGTGTGGGTCTCGTTATGAAAAAAAGATGTCGATAGCCAGTGCGTTCGGACGTTATTAAAAGTTTGGTGGGTGAGTCACAAGAACTATTTGCTGGGAGAGTATGGACATGGGGGAAAAAGTAACATATGTCTGTTACCTACAAAATTCGAAAAATTTAGCTGGGATGTCCATGAGTTTAATAGTTAACCACGAAAAAAAAGAAAAAGAAATTTTACATTTATCCAAATATCGCTCTCCTCTTGAAAGACTATTTCTATGTCTTCCTTATCTGCTCTGTCACCACAAACTTCATATTCCATTGAAGTCATGAAATTCGTTACGGGTATTTTCACAACGGCTGTGCGTTTTTGTGCCCGGTCCAGTAATTGCGCCCATATGCTGTGATTTTTTATTAAACAGGAAAGAAGACCACGTAAATGACAGTAGACTTGAATTATTTGTATGACACTACTCCATCACAATGATATTATACTATATTCTTTGACTAGTTACAAACCTTTTCCCATCAGGACACCACCCAAATCTGACAATATATTCCAGCCAAGGAAACTTTTTCTCTAGAGATGCTTTCCCCCATAAACGTTTATGCACAGGACCGAATGCTGCTATCTTTAAAGTTTATAGGTTTAGTATTTGTAAACGCAGACTCGAATTAGTTAATCTGAAGAATTCACGTTCAGATAACCAGATTGAAAGGCAATATTTACCTCGCTATCACCATTATCATATCGAGGTATGAATTCCACCAGTTGCAAGTCACCAACAGCATTATTTGTGCCTTGAAAAAGAAATGGGTAAAGACATGCAATCGCGTAGATAGTACAGAACAATAAAATATCATTAAACAAGAAATTCCGTTATGTTTTTACGGCATCGTTCGCAAATTCATCCTATTCTTTTCTTGTTATAAACTCCTTCCCCCTTCATCCGAACCATTATACAAAGAAATACAAACCAGCTCTCGGATAACGATGCTCTTCCACTTCTCCATGCGATCCTGGTCGAGGAATGAGAACTAGACCAACCGCCGCTTCCGATATTTGTATATAAAGAATGCGTTCTATCTTGTCATTTAAGTACTCATTTACCGATGGTGGTGCCCAATAGTAGCCGGTAAATCTGTGAAATTCTTCCTTTGATGTAAGCGAGGATATTGAGTAGGTAATGGTTAGATTACAAATATATGTACAAGCAAGAGAACGAATGGGCTATTTATAAACTTTGTATATTCATATTCTTTTTGTCTATCCCTTTTAACCTACCTGCATGACATACTCGGCAATCCCACAACTCAAGGCTTCTCTTCTTGCATCTGGATTCTCACTACAAAAAGTCAGCCTAGTTTCATACCCTTTCATTGTCGTAACCCATATATCCCTATCCCGTATGAAAGCAATAAGATTAGCGTTCCTTCCGCCCAACTTTGGATCGAGTCGCGGGAGTGAATAGCCCAAAATTGTTGACTTTGTCGCCGTTGTCGTCATCAGCGGCGAACCAGATGGAGTGGGGGAAGGCGAAGATGTGTGCGAAGAGTGGTGAGAAGAGGAATTAGATGAAGAACTGGGAGAGTAAGAGGATGGTGAAGCAGTTGAGGGAAAGGCGGATGAGACTTGGGGTGAGAAGAATGACGGGTTTGGGTTGGATATAGGTGAAGGTGAGTGTAGGCAGTGTGATGATAAACGAAATGGGAGAGACAGGATTGCGTCTGCGAGAAAGTTGCTCAAGGTCTGAGTGGTAATCGCTCGGGGTGTGAAGTTGATTGTCTAAGGAGAATAAGTTGGAAAAAACAAGATTTTCAGTAAAATTAACCACTTCATTAACCGAAAACATGTCGATATTGCTCATATAAACGGCCTAACCTTATCAATTCGCTCAACTCGGCCAACGTAAACCCCATTCCCATAGTTGAACAATATTTGTCCACTATTTTTCTCAAACTGGTAATTCGCGATCCCTTGAAGCGCCAATCTTCTTCTTTCCTTTGAAAGTAATTCCTCTCTCGATAGTGTCTCTGAAGCGGAATTCTCTTGCAACCACGGCTCGGGTAAAAGTGGTCGCCATTCTAGGAAACAAATAGAATTTCCTTGAGATTGTGATGATGGGGAATTAAGAGAGAAAAGGCGCCGTTCAGTATGAATTGGTCAAGGTCTGCATTATTGAACACGCTGAAGATGAGTTAACCATTCAAATTCTGCTATAAGCCACTCGTTATTTACTGATCTCTTCTATGCCCATCCAGAAACAAATCACATGCTACTTTTTATTTTTCGTTTGTCAACGCGTAAATGCCATACCTGATAATTCACCATCAGATTTTGAATTCTTATTTCGCTTTTCACTCATGGGTGCTTTCCGCTCATCCTTCATGTCTCCACTGTATTCCACTTTTCCATCACTCCTCTTGACTTTTGGCAGGTCGACTACAAACAAAGTCGAGCTCTTAAATCGAGCAGGATCCGTAGCTAAGAAGTATACACAATTGTTTGTGTCGTCGAAGCAAAACTCTTTTATATTAACAATGTTCGAAGGCTGTATGAAGTTACGGTACGCCCGAATATCTCTACGAACTTGTTCCCAGGCAATTAACGTAGGACGAGGACCTCTTGCGCTATTACCGTCAGTAGGATGTGGGGAAGGTTGCATAATTTCAGACAATTTGAGGAATAAATGCTGAATACTATCAAATAATTTGTCGACGAATTTCTGAATCAATGCGAGATGTATATATTTAAAGAATGTTGTAAAGAATGACGTGCAAGATTATGTGAGTATATTCATAGCGTGCGAAGAATGCAAAAATCCGCCCAGAAATCCTAAATAGTCGTTATTGACATTGATCGAGAGATCGTTTAGTGTGGGAAAAGGAGCGGCGTAGATATTATTTTTGGTAATCTAAGGGAAGTTCTAGATGAATTAAAGTATTGTTTGTTTCAGTTATTTAAACCATCTCAGTAACACGAGTTTTCTTGAGATCGAAGGTTCGCACACACAGAGCAAGAATGCCAAATCTCGTGACTTGCACTTGAGTCAGCCAATCCAATGGCATCTATCTTGAACTGTTGTCGAATTGCTCCAACTTCTAGTCAATGCTCATATAATCGCTGCCACTGTTTCCTTCGGTTTCACTCATCTACATTCTTCAATAGATTACTTATTTAAACGTTCTTTCTACTGAACATTATTTGTCATTCTTAGTGTATTAGTTGTATGCAAATTCTCTCGTGTGATTCTTATGTTCGGCGATCACTTGTTCGGGACAAACACTAGACTTATATTACTGAACCGGATGTAATCGACGAAAAGTAAAACTGGACGTAATCTATAAATGTTTTGGAAAGTTTTTTTGATGAGCTGATTTAATTCGCCTAAGATTTGTTCTCAGATTTCTTCTGTAAGTAAAGAGAGAAATTATAAGTTAGTACAAAATTAAGATGTGATTTAGATAAAGCAAAATTAGAAATATTACTTGCCTCCTCACCTTTAATGGTTTCCCGTAAAAATGTTCCTTTTCATGTGAAGCACGTTTTTTTTGTCGCAAAATTCAAGCATAGTACGGTGGGTCTTAGTGCTAAATGCACTCTCTCTATATTTTATTCTACGCGTGCAATAGATTTCATATTAAAAAAAAAATTCTGTAACTATACTCACGTGACATTTATCACAAACTTGATACTTCCTTTAGTTCAGTCAAGACTCGATATAGTCAAGTCGACGGGACGGGGGTTTTTCTTGACTATATCGAATCTTTACTATACCGAATA